GGAGTCGGTCTGGGGAAGTCCCGTGGCGAGTTGTCCTCGTGTTCCTCCTCCTTCGTTTGAGTGGAAAGTTGTTGTTTTTGCTCGCGCCTCTGGCCGCCAAAAGCTTCCAGGGACGTTCAGAGAGCTCCCCCTGCTCCTCCTCCTCCTGCTCCTCCTGCTCCTCCTCCTGCTCCTCCTCCTCCTCCTCCGCCTCCTCTTGTTGAAGTCAGCACGTCGAGTGGCTTGTTGCTGGTTCGTCGCTCGACGGCAGGGATCAGGGCCGAGAAGCGCCGAGACGAAACGAGAGAGCCGCTGTATGAAGTGTGGGAGGGAGGAGAAGGATAAGGAGGAGGGGAAAGGAATTGGGGAGGAGGAGAGGGAGGGGAAGTATGAGGGATGAGGCAAAGGGGGAGGAGGAGGAGAAGGAGGAGGAGGAGGATATGGATGAGCGAGAGGAGGGCGCCGACGAGCAGAAACAGTAGCGGCAGTGAGTCGGGGACGTTGGAGAGAGAGAGGGAGAGACCTAGAGCGGGGAGGCGGGAGTAGTCGGGCCTAGATTTGGTGGTTCATGTTTGTAGCGCTTTCTGAGTAGGGCCTAAGGAGTTTCAATAATGCCAAACCACGCGCACATCATTTGTCGCGTTGACGCGTTTGGGGAGGGGGTCGAGGTGGATCCCGAGCTGGCAATCCAGGGGGTGGGAGTCCTCAAAGTAACCTTGGCATCGCTCAGACGTCTGCTTTTTTTTTCTCGGCAGGGGCCACCGATCTTGCGAAAAAGTACGGCAGGTTCGCTTCGTGCCGACCGGCGGCAACCCCACCGCGTGCGTTGAAGGGTGAACGCCCCCCGTGGCCCAGAATCGACCCGTCGTTGAACGATCCGGCGTTCACGGAACGTCCGATCGTTCAAGTTTGAACGATCCTTGCGGTGTCAGGAACCAATGCCGGGGTCGACACGACGCGAATTTGCCGTACAAACACGAAATTGACAAAATGCACGGGGGAAGGACATCCGAGAGATGGCAAGCAACAGGCCGGGCGCAAAAAACGTCCGGCCAGGTGTACGGGGCGGGGGAGGGTATGCGCTGCGGGACCGCTCGCCTGCTCAGGGCTCCTCCTCCTCCTCCTCCTCCTCCTCCTCCTCCTCCTCCTCCTCCGCTCCTCCTCCTCCTCCTCCTCCTCCTCCTCCTCCTCCTCCTCCTCCTCCTCCTCCTCCCCCCTCCTCCTCCTCCTCCTCCTCCTCCTCCTCCTCCTCCTCCTATTCCTCCTCCTCGTTGCTCGCTCGTCTCCAGAAGGGGACGCGGGATGGGGTACCGCAGGTTCGCGTCGTGTCGACCATCGGCGACCCCGACGCCAGCGTTCAACGTTGAGCGCCGCCGGAGACCCAGAATCGGTGGATGTCGAACGATCTGCCGTTTCGGAAACGTCTGATCCTTGGAGCCAACGCCAGGGTCGACACGGCAGGAATTTGCGGCAGGATGAGGAAGGCGGAGGAGGGGCGGGGAGGGGGAACATGCTTGGAGTATGTATTGAGGCACTCCCAAGGGACCGCGCTACACTTGAAGTCGGGCGTGTCCCTCTACAGAGCGAATGTTCAAAAATAGTCAAAAAATACTCCAGGGACGATTTTTTAAAATTATGTTTGATCATTTTGGTAGCATGTTTGGAATATTTTTAAATTTGTCATCCAAAATCCGCCTGTAGGGGGACACGCCCGACTTAACGTTACACCCAACGTCGCGAGACCACCCCGATCTGGGCACCGGAGCCCACCCGACATGGCTCCGCGCCGACACGGTTTTCGCTACGTCCACTCGACGGGAGACCGAACGCCATCCGGGGGGAGGGGTGAAGAGGAGGAGGGTAAGGGGAAGGCAAAGAAGGGGGAAGCACGGAGAGTTGCAGGGTCCATTTCGATCCGATCGGTCCGATCCGATGTCGTTTCAGGCCGATTCGATCTGATTGGATTCAGAAGTTCCGACGATCCGATGCGGCCCGATGCATGCATGGTGTTGTTGTGCATCTTGGCGTTGCCGAGCCGACTCCGACTCCGTGCCGATGCTGCCCGATTCGAAGCACGTTCCGATTCGATCCGATTTCCCGATTCGATGTTGATGGAGCTTGCCCAATGGTTCTGGCGCGCATGCTCCCCAGCGTCGAGCGCACCCGCCACCACCAAAGGGGAAGGGGAAGAGCAGGAGCAGGAGCAGAAGCATGAGCAGGAGGAGCAGGAGGTTTAGGAGGAGGATTGCAGTGTAGTGCTAATGCCTTTAGGGTAGGGTAGGCATAGTCCTGTGGATGTGCTCGTGAAGGTTGAATGAGAAGCCTTCTGGCCCCAGAGCCTTTGAAGGGACTGTTGTTGGCACCCGGTGCTGGTGCATGGTATGCGTGGTCAGCATACCCCGAGACAGCCGCCTCTATTCGACACATTAGGTTTGGCGGGGGGTGCTTCACGATAGCCCCATCATCGCCTCCTACCGTACAAGCCATAAGTCATCATGCGTGTATCACCACCTGATCAGACGATTGACTGGCACCCCCCAGAATTAGGGGAACGAAGAATGGCATAAACATAAAAACTTGGAGGTCCGCGCGGATTTCTCGGATCGGCGCTGGACCCCCCTCCCTGGCGCGCGGAGAGCGCCAGGGGCGGCGCCAGATGCGCAGCCAGGGGCCCCCAACGCCGATCCGAGAAATCCGCGCGGACCTCCGAGTTTTTATGTTTATGCCATTTTTCGCTCCCTTAATAATGCCGTCAGGCGTTGGTTCCCTAACCTTGTGGGGGCCCAGGGCAGCTCACCGGGGGCCACAAGGCAAGATGCCTCGCCACCCTAGTCGGGACATGTGCGCCTGCTGCACCGCAGGGGCGATCGCCGGGGGGAGGAGGGAGGAGAGAGAAGGGAGGAGGATCTGTTCTGCAGCAGGCCGGGACGCCACCTTAGGGTTGACAAGGGGGGACCTACGCCATCGCAGGCCAGGTCGCTACGGGTAGGCAGCTCTCAGGCAGGCCCGGTCGCCCCCCCCAGGGAGGACGGGGCGGACCCACTCCATTGCCGCCGATGTTTCCGCTGTGAAGTGACAAGAGGCAGTTGTTCCACAGGATAGCCGACCGCCACCCTGGCGGCTTCCGGGGGAAACCAATCCACAGCTGGGCACCGTTCCACCTGAGGGGTGACCGCGGAGCGTTGCTCCAACGCGGGCTTATCGCCATTCTAGGGGTGACGGTTGGTTGGCTTCCCAGCAGGACTGATCGCCGACTCAAGGGTGACCGAGGAACCTGCTCCACAGGAGTGCGGATCATCGCCACTTTAGGGTGACGGTTAAAGCTGGATTGATCGCCGGCCCGCGGGTGACAGGACGAGGAGGAGGAGGAGGAGCAGGAGGAGCAGGAGGAGCAGGAGGAGGAGCACGAGGAGCAGGAGGAGGAGCACGAGGAGCAGGAGGAGGAAGAGGAGGAGGAGGAGGAGCAGGAGGAGGAGGAGAAGGAGGAGGAGGAGTAGGAGGAGGAGCAGGAGGAGGAGGAGAAGGAGCAGGAGAAGGAGGAGGAGGAGGATGAGGAGGAGGAGGAGGAGAAGGAGTGGGGGGAAAGCCAGAGACGAGGGGGCGGTGCCCCGTGCCGCCGACGCCCGGCGCCCAGGGCAAGCCGCCCGCCGAGCAGATCGCCCTGCTGCGGACGGCGCCTCCGCTCGCCCACGGTCTCCGTCGTCTCGGGCCAGACGGACGGGGGGGGTGGGTCGGCGCCAAAGGGGCGGGGGTCGGTGCGAACAGAGGTCAGCCAGAGCGCCAGATTTTGCAGGATCCTGCAGGGCCAGGGTGCACTGACCCGGGCCTGCGCGCAGGATCCTGCAGGATCTTGCAGGTGTTGGCGAAACCCTGTAAAGCCCGACTGGCCCGGGTTTGACTAGACCCGGATCAGGAGATCCCCGATGGGACAGGGAAGGGGGCACAACATTTGCTGCATGCAGCTGGCGTTGGCCCCGCCCGCCGCTCGGGCGCTGTCCTCGATGCAGTGGCGCCTCTGGCGCTGGTATACGCAGCTGCGTGGGCAGATTCGCTAGCCTCTCTCTTTCTGCCTATTTGGTCTGACCCGATCGTCGTTGCCCCCGCTCTCGGTCCGTGGCAGTTCTACGAACGAGGAGAGGGAAGGAGGGCCGCGCCGCATAGCAAATCACGGCGGAGGGTGTTCGGCAATGTTCAGCTTCTGGGGCCCCATCACTGGGGCCCCAGGACCATCAAAAAAAAAACGGGTGAAAAGCTTGTCCATGGGAAGGGGTCAGACCTCTGGGAGGAGAGGAGAGGAAGAGGAGGAGGGAGAGAGGAATTTCCAAGCCGCCCGAATGATGCTGGAATGGATGGGGTCGGGAGATCGCGTCGTATCGCCAATGCATCGGCGATGCGGCGCGATCTGTAGCCCGTTCTTCTCCACCTCGCCGTCGCCGATTCATCGACGATGCGGTTCGATCCTCCGGCCCCGGTTCGGGGTTTCCTGAGGAGAAGGAGGAGGAGGAGGAGGAGGAGGAGGAGGAGGAGGAGGAGTTTGAAGGAGTGAGGAGGAGGAGGAAGATGAGGAGGAGGAGGAGGAGGAGGAGTGGAAAGGGGGAGGAGGAGGAGGAGGAGGAGGAGCGAGGAGCGAGGAGCGAGGAGGAGGGAGGGAGGGAGGGACGGAGGGAGGTGTCCCCGATACCTATGAGTAGGTCTCTCGTCCGGGGGCTCCTCGGGTCATCCCGCCCTCCCCCTTTCCCCGCTCCCTTCGTGCTTGCCCCGCCCGCAGCCTTTGGCTTAGCTTGTGCACCTGAGTGCTGCTCGTCATCGTTATATGATAAAGGCTCGCTTACCTCTCCCTTGGCCCCTCTTCACCTATGCCCGCCGATAATGCTGACAGTGGTAACTGGAGCGTGGCTGACGGGCAGGGTGATCAGACCAGATCGTACGCGACGATAGGCGTGAGCACGACGGCCACAGGAGACGATGCCAGCGAGCCGACCCAGGAGTCGACGGGCTGGCAAGACTGGTCGTGGGCCAGCCGATGGTGGAACGGAGAGTGGAACGGTGATGAGTCGAGCGTATGGGACCGCAGTCACGGGGACTGGAGCAGCGCTGTGTACTGGAAGGGCACCGACAACACTTGGGGAAACGGGCGGGGCCAAGGATCTCATTCTGGAGATCATGGTGCGCCGCCTACATGGCTCGGCTTCGAGAACCCACAGATATACAAGCTGAACCTGAGCGCCTGGGCCGACCGGACTGGCTATCGTGCAGAACGGCGCGCCGGCAAAGTCCTGGAGTCTCTGCCCGTGGACGTGCAGCAGCGTTTTGCCTCCATCCGGGCTCAGTTGCAGAAGAGCGATGGCATGAACCAGCTGGTGGAGAATCTGTCCGTGCTCAACGGAGAGCGCCCGGGCGACAAGGAGCGAGAGGCACAGAATTCGGCGCTGTTCAACCACGCCATCCGACGCGGCGAGTCGATCACCGATTTCGTGTTGCGACGGGATCTAGAGGTGGCAGAGGCTCTCAGACACGTGCTCGATCTTCCAGATTCAGTCAAAGCTCGGTTCATAGAAGAAGGAGCGCAGTTATCAGAACAGAACCGCATCAATATCAAAACCTTGGCGAACGGCAAGTCCGACCACGATTCGATCAGGAAGGCCCTCTTGATGCTAGACGTGCGTAGCAAGAGTGTCCTCCCCTCGACCTCAACTGACAAGACGTACCGGGCAGAGGTGGAGGTGCCTCCGCCACCCACCACCCAGGTCGACGTGGAGTCTTTCTTCGAGATCGAGGGCCCGGACGATGCGTTCCTGCTTCCTGAAGGCGAGGCGGAATCCTTCCTACAGGCTCTAGACGAGCAGGACTTCGAGGAGTCCGACCTGGTGGTAGTGTTGGCGGCAGCCATAGAGGACAAGTTAGGCGCCGAGAAGAAGAGAATGCGGCAGGAGGCGAGACGGATGAAGGCGAAAAACGAGCGACAGAGATTTATTTGACAGGAGGCGTGCTACGCTCTCGGGTTTCAAGCGCATCACTGGACGAGACCTTCAACAGCGATCGAGGTGCGCCAACTGTGGAGACAGGGACACTGGGCAGAGACGCGCAAGAAGCCCTTCAAGTCTCAGGAGCAGCGACTAGCTGAGAAAAAGCGGATGAAGGAGGGCGGAGCGAACAAGTCATTCTTCTTCTACAACGGCGACGACGACGACGAAGGCCATTTCGGATACGCGCCGTTCGTCCCGAACGCGACGGAGATAACGACTACGGACTGGAACGGTGTCATTCAGACGGTGAAGGATGCCCAGGTGCCGTCCCTGAAGAACATGATGGAGCATGCCTTGGTTGACACAGCTGCCGGACAGGCTCTCATCGGGCGCGCGGGCCCCCAGATACTCGCGCAGGCCTTCGAGAACAAGGGCTACCGGGTTCCGCCCAGGTCTGAGGAGCCCCCGGGCACGACAGCATCGGGGATCGTAGGCACCGCGAAGCCAGTAGGCAAGGCGCGGGCGCCAGCGTCGATCGCAGGGTGCGGCGTCGCAGAGTTTCTGATCCTGGACGGTCGATGTCCCGCGCAGCTTCCGGCGAGGCTGCAGGGCGCGATGGGCGGCGCGGTGGATCTCCGCGCCAATCAGATGATTGTGGGCGGCGCTGACGGCGAAAGGATCGCGCGCCCCACGCTGCGCCCCCCCGAGGGCCACAGGTCGATCTCTGATCTGGCGCGAGCCGAGCGACTTCAGGGTCGGCAGCGACGCGCCGTTGCGCCTGCCAGTGGGGCGCAGGAACTACCGCTTGGAGGACCATAGGGGCAAGGGTAGTGAGGGGGAGCTAGCGAGTTGGCGTGTCAGGCCAGATCAGGCAGTTTTCCCCCCCTCCTCTAGGGTCGCCTCGGGGCCGGCCCCAGAGGCCCCTCCGGATACCGAGAGTAGGTTGTCGGGCGACAGCGGGTTGAACGCCCCCAGGTCCGTAGCTCATCTGGCCCGAGCCTTCTCTTCTTCCTCTGAGCGAGCCCGAGACGGCACAGATCGACGGGCAGGCAAGCGACGCTGAGCAAGTCCAAACCGCCCGCGCGTCGCACTCCAGAAGCAGGGAGGCGCGAGGTCCGCCTCAGCGAGCCCGGCTCGTCGCCCGGCTCGTCGCCCGAGCAGCCAGGGCGAGCCCCCGACAGTGCGCGAGGCGATGCCGCCACCGATGGCCGAGGACGGCTGGGAGAAGCTGGTCGACGAGAACTCGGGGCAGATGCTCGAGCTGGAGGCCCTCGCGACCCTCGAGGTCCAGCAGCTGAACGACGGCCAGCGCTACTTCAGCCCGGTAGCGCACCGCTGAAAGACCACGTGCTTGCGCGTCGTGGGGATACGCCAGACGCGCGGCAACGCGACGGCGATCGCCATCCACGTCCCTCTGATCTACCAGGGCGCCGGGGAGCACAAGGTACCGGCCAGGTTTTGCCCGCGCCAAGCCTGGGCCCAGTGGTCGAGCAACAACTCGACGTCGGCGTGCACTTTCTGCCGGATGTGCGACAGCCGGCTGCGCCTCCGCGACCGCACTCCAGAGGAGAAGGCAGAGAGGCCCAGGTGAAGAAGCTCGTCGAGGCCATGTCGAAGTCGATCAAGGTCCAGTCCAAGGCGCTGGTAGACAGCATAGTGGCGCAGTACGAGGCGGACCTTCGCCAGCGCGGACCAGGGGACCCGTGGGCGCCTACCCCTCCAGCGTCGCCCCCCCGATGGCTCCATCATGCAGGATCGCAGCTGCCGAGAACCTGAAGAGCGCCCCCGAGAACCTCCACGCGCCGGTGGACGAGGGGCCCATCCCGCACAAGGCTCCTCCGCCAGAGGCGCCCGCGAGCAAGGCCCGAGCCCGCAGCCGCTCGAGCGCCCGAGGACGCAGTCGGAGATGCCGAGGGCCCTCAGCGACACGAAGGTCTGCATCGAGACTCAGCGAAGGGCGAACGAGAGGACTTGGGAGGGAGTGAACGGGCTGCTGCAGGAGAACCGGGCGCCAGCAGCGACCGCGGCCAGCAGTTCCAGCTCGAGCCCGAGGATGTCAGACGAGGACATGCAGCGGATGGTCGGCCTGATGATGAGCAAAATGCAGTACTACTTCGGGGCGCCGCCGGCGGGCCCCCAAGCCTGAGGGCCGAGGAGGTCCCTGGGCTACCGGAGGCGCTGACTGAGCAGTCGGCGCAGCGCAGCAGGCCATGCTTCCAGAGTGGCATTCTCTTGAGGGATATGGGTGCGTGGCACACTAGAGTCGGTCATTGCAGTTCGGTTTCGAGTTTCGATCCGGTTATCGGGATTTGGGACGGCACCGATCGAAGGTTTCTGGAGGTCTGACCTGTCGTCTCAGCTTGGTTGGGAGAGACGCGAGCTGACGGACCGCGAGCGAAAGTCATCTCTCGCGGGCCTGGCCACGGCAGCATGTGGAGGGGGCCCCCCCGAGAGTTGTTTCCCCCGAGAACCCGATGGATTGAGATCGGGTCTCAGTCAGGCTGCGCGACCTCGAGCTCGCCATGGCGAGGATATACTGCCATCTCGTTGCAAGACGCCCTGGCCTTAACGCGTAAGGATCGGAGTAAGTTTGCTGAGACCCTCGGCTCAGGCCGGGAGGCGACCACCGATCCTGAGGTTAGCGCCTGGTTTGGAAAGTGCCCGGCCCCTGTGGCCGACCTCTCCTCCCCCTCAGCCTCTCCTTCCTCGTGGGCAGGAAGTTGATCTCCAGGTTCAACTGCGTGATCGCAGGCCGCTTTCGCGGCTGCTGCCTTAGATGGTCTGAGCCCCGGGTACTTCGAGAACACGACCATTCCGAAGAAGGCGAGGGGGGCGACGGCTCGGCCCCTAGAGGGCCAGGGGCTTAGATCTAGCAGAAAGCTGGGGAAGTGGCAGGCCCGAGAGGCCGAGGAAGCGAGGGCCGGGACCTTAGTGCAAGAGATGCCCCCCCCCCCCCCCCCGGGTGTCTAAGGAACTCGAGCGAAGAGGGTATCAAGTGTCGCGCGCTTTCGACCTGCTTGCGGGCGCGGGCCTCTTAGAACGGCAGAAGGGCAGAAGGTCCTCTGGACCACGATCAAGCGAGACAAGCCGCTGTGGGGTCTCACGCCCCCCGAGCGCAAGGCCTTCAGTCAGGCTCGAGCGGCGTCTTGGGGCGCCATGGACCCGAGAAGCCGTAGAGCAGCGTGGTCTCGAGCACGTTGATTTGTGCGTTCAGGTTGCTAGGTTGCAGATGCGAGCAGGGAGATCTTTTTCGCTCGAGCACCCCGAGGGGTCCAGCTCCTGGGCTTCAGGCCAAGTGTAGGACTTGATGTCTCAGGACGGGGTCCGAGTTGAGACGGCTGATCAATGCGAGTTCGGGCTCTCCGTTGTCAGAGAGGCCGCGTTGCCTAGGAAGCGGACTCGGCGCGTGAGCAACGGAAGTGCGTTCTTGTCTAGGTGCGCGCGACGGGCATCAAGGACGCTGCCTGGGCTCACCATCATCTGACAGGCCCTTCCCTCCTTGCTGAAGCCACGTCGGAGGACGAAGCCACTGTTCCCCTGGAAGATCGAGAGCTGGATTTTCTGCCGCCCCGGTCTTGCCCTGAAGCCGAGGTCGGCCCCGATAAGGACCCGGACGAGGACGTTCCGGAGACCTGGAAAGGCCCGAGAGGGCCCGCGGCCCCAGCTCCGGCCCCGGCGTCCTCTTCGGAAGGGCTAGGCAGGAAATCCACAAGTTACATGTGAATCTTGGTCATCCAGCTCCCCCCGAGTTCTCAAGGACTCTTCGCGTCGCGAGAGCGAGGTCCGACGTTTTGGATTGGACCCAGAACCACTTTCGATGCGGGGCTTGCGAATCGCACGCCCGGCCGCATTGGCGGCGCCACGCTCGCCTTCCACGCGGGCGCGAGTTCAATAAATTAATTGCGGTAGACCTTTTACCTGGAGGCGGAGGGGGCTAGCACGCCGGTTATGAATGTTATATGCCACGGCGCTAATTATCAACAGGCCTGCTTGCTGCCTAACGATACGGCTACGGCGACGTGGAAGGGCTTCCCCCAGCTCTGGGCGAGGCCATTTGGGCTGCCACAGATGCCCATTTCAGACGGAGGCGGCGAGTTTGAATCAGAGTTTTCTCGCGGACGTGAGCACCTCGGGATGTTTCACCAAGTCGCGGCCGCAAATTCACCACACTGCAACGGGCGATGTGAAAGACACGGGGGCATCCTCCAGGATGTGCTTTCCATGGCCTCGCTGGCCGCGAATCCGGCTTCCCAGGGCGAGGTTGGAATTCTGTTGTGCGAGGCGATTGCGGCTAAGAACAGCACTTACCACAGAGGGGGATTCAGTCCGGTGCAGCTGGTCCTCGGGAGAGCTCCGAGGGTGCCCAGATCGCCCCTGTCCGATGAAGAGTTGGACCTCGTAGGTTGCGAGGACGTGCTCGGTGGAGCTCCCCAGGGAGATTCGGCAGCAGCCGAGTTTGCTCGGCGACGCATCCTGCGGCAGGAGGCCCAGAAGGCCACGGCATCTCTGGACGCCCGATCCCGTCTGTCAGAGGCGAGCAGAGCTCGCATGCATGCCGAGCGCCCCTTTGAGCCAGGAGAATGGGTGCACGCGCGGAGGAGAGCGACGGCAGCCACGAGAGCCCACTCGTTGCAACGAGACATGTGGACGGGGCGGGGGGTAGTGTACCAGAACGGGGGAACGGTTTGGGTCGCGATGCGCACTAAGCTGTACAAGTGCTCAGAGGAACAGATCCGGTCGGCTACCCGTCAAGAGCCCCTTGGAGCGGAATTGCTGGACTCAGTTCGATTTGCGGCCCTGCGGGGGCAAATTCGGCCCCCGGGGAAGCGGCCCGGCGCGGTCGACGTGGCCTCTGAGGGGCCTCCTCCGCCCGAGGCCCGGGGCGGCCCAGAGCCTAGGGAGCGTCCGGATCCCGATCCCTCTACCATAGTTTTCGTTTTGAATCCCGGCATGTCGATGCCGCCGCCTCCCGCCACGCCTCCAGCGGTTCCGATCGAAACCCAGAGTCGGGATGACTCAGGCGCCGAAGGCCTCCGAATCGTCGATGGCGAGGGCCACGAGCGGAGGTTCTGCGATCTCTGAGTTGTCGCAAGGCGTGGCCCGTGTTTTTGACCTCGAGCCCGAGGTGGCGGTCCGGCCACGGCTCACCTCCATCGAGGATGTTGTCGGTCAGAGAGCTCGGGTGGCCGTCATGGTTCGCGAGCGGGAGGTCACGGGGCCCGGGGGCCCTGTCTTACCAGCGGTGGAACATCACCCCTGCCACGTGTACGGACGGGCCCCACGCACGCGTTCGGTTTCAGCCCCGCTGGCCTCGCCGTTCGCTCGACCCGGGAACGGAGTTCCTTCGTCTTCCGGGGGTCCTTCGCCCGCCGCCCCCTCGAGCGAGCTTCCAGAGAACCTGCGACATGCCTTGGGCGCTCCGCCGCCCCCTTTTCAGCCTCTGGATTTTAGGAGGTACGTCGTCAGGGATTCCGAGCCCGCCGCCGAGGCGGAAGAGGGGTTCGAGGGTTTGGCTAGGGAGGCTGATGATTTCCAGGACGCGCAGCTTTTTTTGGAGCTGCAGGAGTGGTCGGACATACGCGGGGCGCCTAACTACACGGCCCCAGTCCAGGACCCAATTTCAGGTTTTACTGGGGCGGCTACGGTCAAGGGCTCAGGCAAGCTCTCCAATCCCAGAGGAGCTGAGGTGGTCAAGAAGGATCTCACGCCCTAGGAGAGGGCCCAGTTCGTTGCTTCTGATCTAGCAGAGTGGGAGGCTATTTTGTCCTCCGGCGCGGTGCGAGTGCTTTCACCTGACGAGGCGAGGATGGCCCGCAGGCGCCATCCCGATCGCGTGCTGTCATCGCACATGGTGCGCCATTTCAAGCCTATGGAAGAGGTGGGGGCCCAGGCTAAAGCTAAATCAAGATGGTGCGTCCACGGTCACCAGGATCCCGATGGGGAAAGTCTCTCTGTCTACGCTCCCACCCCCCAGACAGAGAGCATCCTTCGCGCCCATGGGGCGGGCGCTCAATGTGGCCGATGCCAAGAATGCGTTTTGCCAAAGTAACCGTCTCGAGAGGCCAGGCGGGGCAATCTATGTGGAACCTTGCGCCGGGTTGACTTTGCCTCCAGGCCCCCTAATTGAATTGGTCGCGCCGGTGCACTGTCTCAACGATGCTCCCCCATTATGGCATCGCACGCTTACCGATTATCTCACGTCCCTCGGATTGCGAAATCCTTGCTAAAGCCATGCTTGTGGTTTCAGAGAAGCAAGCTGGGCGGGCTGGAGGCCCTTGTCCTCATCGAGGTCGACGACTGATAGTCTCAGGGGAAGAGAAGTGTTTGGCCCCCTTGCGGTCCTCGTTGACCGAGCGGTTTCATTTCGGGAAATGGAAGACCGAGGAGGCCGACTTTGCTGGCCGCCATTTGCTTCAGACGCCGGACGGGATCGCAGTAGATCAAGAGAAGTACATTAGGGAACAGCTCTCGACGATGTATTTGACTAAGGACCGACGATCGCAGCCAGAGTCGCCGTTGTCTCGAGACGAGATCAGCTCGCATCGTACCGTAGCAGTTCAGGTTCAGTGGCTCGCGAGGGAGTCGCGCCCGGACGTTGCCGGCTCGGCCTCTTTGCTAGCTGCAGCCTTGCCGGCGCCAAGTGTCGCTGACGCACTTGCCCTGATAAAGGTCTGCAAGCATGTGAAGGCGCCCCTGGAGCAGCGTCTGACGACATGGGCGTTGGACCCATCGTCGGTGACATTTGTCACGGCGAGCGACGCTGGAGGTCCCGGGAGTGCTCGACGAGGGGGTGCGCAGGGGGCCTGGCTGATCACGGTTGCCGATTCGGCGATCCGCGATGACCGCAGGGCGCGCGTCAGCTTGCCAGCGTGGAGATCACCGCGTATCAAGAGGGCTGCGCCTAGCACCGTCGCTGCGGAAACGCTGGCGCTCCCGGGCGCCACAGGGGAGGCTCAGTGGATGCAGGTGCTGTGGCGAGACGCAGTCTGGGGGGATGTGCCACGGCCGGACTGGTTCGAAAAACAAGGTCCTTTCTCGATGATGCTGGCCCGCGAGTGCCAGCTGAGCGAGGCGGCCTGGGGGCTGTCGGTGGTGGATGCGAAATCGGCGTTTCATGTGTTTTCTCGGAACTCGGCCAGGTCTAGGGCCGACCGCCGGAAGTCCCGTCAATCCACCCCCTACCCCTATTCCCCCCTACCCCTGCCCCTCGATCATTCGATCGGTTGCACCCCCCTGCCCCCCTCGGCCCCCATTGGTGCCCCTCCCCCCCGCGATATGCATCGACCCCCTCCCGTCGGCCGCATCGGTCCTCCTCTGTCCGCCTCCTCTCGTCGCCGCGCGGCACACATCGATCTCCCCCCTTCCTCCGGCCCGTCTGTCCCCCTGGGCCTTCTCCGCCGCCGCAATGCTTCTTGACTTCGACGTCACTGCTGAAATCACTGCATCCAATATAGTGGTATTTCGCCTCGTCTCCCCCCTCGTCCCCATAGCCGTCCAGGATGCCCGCGGGCGCGAGCGCCTTTTGCACATCAGCCCTTCCGCATCCGAACATTCCTTATACCTCTCTCTGCAAGCGAGGATCGGACGAGCTTCATCCCGCCGAAACACACACTGCTCCACCCGAAATCGCGCCCCAAAGAGCCGCTTACACCGCCGCCTGATCATCTTCTTCACAAGAAAGCGCCGCTGAGACCGCCACTAGGTCACATCCACGGTTCTAGGTGCCGTTCGCGTTCACCGCGGCCCGACGCGCTCAACAAGATATTCAATGCCCTCGGGACTCTCTCACGGCATCCCATTTGGAAGGGGCGGCACACCACATGCAAGGATGCCCTCTGTTGAGCTGAGTTGTCCGAGGTCTACGCTCACGAGTGGATGTCGAGCCGCATGCGCGAAGATGTCATGGACGCCATGGCAAATCCGTTCTCAGACAAGGGCTGTTGCTGCTTCGAAGCCAAGGATGACTGCGCCAGAACAGCCCGCAGGCTGCTTAGGCGCTACAGCGCCTGCTCCGACGAAGTGTGCTTTGCTTGCTCAATCTTCCCCTGCAGCATCGCCCCACCAGCATGCGTCGGCCCGCCCCTCTGCCTTCTCCAGCATTCGCTGCAGGAGTTCAGCGCGACCGCGTCTCGTCCTTTCTTGAGCTATTGCGCAGGCGAAATCTTTTTTACCACGCCGCGTCGGGACGCCCAGCGCCCCTGCGCAGTTGACCGATGCCGCGCTATCGACCGACGCTTCCATGTCGCAGTTTCCGCAATAATGTCTCCTTGTTCCAGTCGCCCCCCCCCCTGTGGCACGTTCGCATTTGCCGTGCACGGCAGGCTTCGGTGTCTGGCCCCTCCGCTGGCGCAGCTCTGCTCCGGGTTGCGCGGGAATCGCTGTCGCTGCGACGACATCGACGCGGCGCAATCCACGCGGGCGCACTACGCGGTGCATTCGATGTGGCGCAGCCAACTCGGCGCTATCTACGATGCGCCACGTGCGCGGTGTAATTGGCACAGCGCCGTGCCACGTTGCGCAAACAGTGCGCCTCGATATCTACGCGGCGTTCGCATGGCGAAGACATCTACGCGGCGCGATCGACGCAGTCTGGGCGACGGGCCCGGGCGACGAGGAGGAGGAGGAGGACGAGGGCGAGGCGGGGGGGGGCGGAGAACGAGGAAAAGGGGGGGTGCGAGGGCGCCCACCTCGGCCAAGTTCCAACTGCCCCGCGGCGCGAGCTCCAAATTCAGATGTCGATCGCGCACTTAGGGCCCGTGCCGGCGGGCGGAAGCCCGTCGCGCAGGGAACGATCGAAATCCGCGAGAGACACTGGCCGCCCCCTGACTTTCGGGGGGGGGGGGGTCGTCGCCGCGGCAAGGGCGCAGCTCGAGTGGCCGATGCGGTTGGGCTCGGGGAAGATGTCGGGGTTTTCTCTGGGCGCTTCTGGACCGCCATTGACATCCCGCCGCGATCCGTCTCGACCTTTTTTTCGGCCCCCCATCGGGCCCCCGTCGATACTAGCTTCGGCCCCCTCGATCCTCCTCGGTCGTCAGTCGAGCTCCTTCTTGCCCCCGCATGTCTTTCCCATCCCCCCCCCTGCCCCCCCGGGCCCCCCTCGGCCCCCTTCGATTCCCGCGTCTCCCTTCCTTCGGCCCCGTCGGCCCCCCATCGGCCCCCGTCGACCCCCCCCCTCTTTTAGCCCTTCTCGATGCGCATCGACCCCATCTCCTCGGCAGCCCCGTCGTCCCCCCGCGGCCCCCCCCCTCTCGGCCCCTCGCGACGCGCGTCGACCTCCCCGCCTCTTGGCCCCGTCTGCCCCTCATGGCCCCCCTGTCGGTTTCCGTGGGTCACCCCTTCGGCCCCGCCGCTCTCCACGACACCTCTCGGCGCACTGGCCGAGACGGCGCGCGCCCGGGTAAGCGCCCGCGGCGGTCGCTAGCTCGACCCAGACACGTCAGACGCCAACTCGGCCCCAAGACTACGGTCCAAGGCGAAGGAATTGTTTACATTCCGCGAGTCCCCACCAGCCCATCCAAAAGCAGCCGTTCGAAAAAGGTGCGCTGACCGTAGGGTCTTTTATCTTCCTTCTCCGTCTCTTCGGTTTTTTCTTCCATCCTCCTCTCCTTCTCCTCGTCATCGTTGCTCCTTCTCTTCGTCCTCCTTCCTCCTCCTCCTCCTCCTCCTCCTGGCGTTGCCGTGCGATCTTGGGGCTCTCTAGGGATCTCAGGGAATCGTGGCCCTGGGGCTCTCTTGGGATTCTCTTGGGGCTCCTTTGAAAGTCTTGAAACCCACTCGGGGCTCTTTGTGGGAGTTTGGGAGGTCTCTCGGGGCCATCTTGGAGGCCATCGGGCAAAGAAGGAGAGAGCATGTATTGGTGTACCCCCGTCGGGGCCCGAAATATCGCCTCTTGGAGCCCTCTTGGGCCGCTTTTGGGCGCCTGGTGGGCGCTCTTGGGGCAGTCTTGGGGCCCTCTTGGGCCGTATTGGCCGCCTCTTGGGCCGTCTTGGGGCCCTCTTGGGCCGTCTTGGGAGCCTCTTGGATCGTCTTGGGGCGGTGTTGCTGGCCTTTGGGGCTGTCTTGGAGCGTCGGGAAGCCGAAAGGGCGGGAACGCTAAAATGTTGTTGAAATGCTTAAGGAAAACATATGATGTTGGCCTCGTGGGGCCCTCTTAGCGCGCTTCTCGGGGCTCTCACTCTTGGAGCGTTTTGGGGGCCTCTTGGGCCGTCTTGGCCTCTCGGGAGCGTCCTTGGGAGGTTCCGCGGCCACTTGGAGCCGTCTTGGGGCGATATTGGAGCCTCTTGGGGCTCTCTTGGGCCACTCTTGGGCGCCTCTTGGGCGCTCTTGGGGCCCTCTTGGCGCCCTCTTGGGCCGTATTGGCCGCCGCTTGGGCCGTCTTGGGGCCCTCTTGGGTTGTCTTGGAACCGTCTTGGGAGCCTATTGGGCCGTCTTGGGGCGGTCTTGCATGCCTTTTGGGCTGTCTTGGAGCGTCGGGAAGCCGAAAGGGCGGGAACGCTAAAATGCTTGAAGCACCCACGCAAAATCAATGGTTTTGGCTTCTTGCGGCCCTCTTAGGGCGCCTCTCGGGGCTCTCTTGGAGCGTTTTGGGGACCTCTTGGGCCGTCTTAGCTTCTCGGGGGCGTCCTCGGGGGGCTCCGCGGCCACTTGGAGCCGTGTTGTGGCGGTCTTGGAGCCGCTTGGGGCTCTCTTGGGCCGCTCTTGGGCGCCACTTGGGCGCTCTTGGGGCCGTCTTGGGGCCCTCTTGGGCCGTAGTGGCCGCCGCTTGGGCCCTCTTGGGCCGTCTTGGAGCCGTCTTGGGAGCGCTCTTGGGGGCCTTGGGAGCGCTCTTGGGGCCATTTTGGAGGAGATCGGTCAAAGAAGACGAAAGCACTTATTTGCCCCCAAAAAATGAGCCTCCCGGGGACCGACAAAGGACGCCCCGGCGACCCGCGGCCCCCCCTCTCCAGGCCCAGGGGGAGGGGGGAGGGGGAGGGGTAAACCCCTCCCCGAATGGGAAGAAGGGGGTTGAGAACAGAGAGGACTATCTAAACCACTCACGCCCTAAAGGGCTGGTGGGATTCGTCAATTCAGCTCCAACACCTCGTTCGCTGAGACGGGATGGGCCGCCAACTCGGCGCCGACGTTTATTCGCCAAGACCGAGTTCGTTTAAAACCATCAGCTCAGCCCCGACGCTGCGCTCGCCAAGACGGCGGGCGCGGCGAGGGGACCCACCAGGTGGATTCGTCAATTTGGAGGGGCGCAGTCAAGGACGTTTGCCAACGCGGAAAGAGAGGCCGTCAAAGGGGGTTCGCCAACAAGGAAGGAGGCTTTCAAAGGGGTTCGTCAGCGCGGAGAGTTGACAGCCAAACCCCGCCACTAAGACAGTCGACGGCCAAATCCTCCACCAAGACAGCGATGACGGCCCAATCCTTTCATTGAGATGGAGTTGACGGCTCATGCGCCGGACGAGGTGCACGCGGTCATCCGTCGCGACGCCCATGCCCGCCTGCAGACGCGCCGCCCGCGACGGGCTCGAGCCCCCCCTTTGGTCCCTCGCGACGCGCATGCCCCCCGCCTGGCGCCGTCGCCCCCCCCTACTGGCCTCCCGCGACGCGCGTCGGCCCACTCCCTTCGGCCCCGCTGGCCCCCCTCGCCCCCTTCGGTTTCCGTCGTTTCATCCTTCGGCCCTTCGGCGCCCCGCGAGCCCCTTTCGGCCCCCGCACTTCCCCCCTCGACACCCCTTCGATGTCCGCGGGCCCCCCCTTCGATCCATCGGCGCCCTTTTTCCCCCCATCGGCCCCCCACCGCCCCCGACCGTTCCCCCCGCAGGCCCCCCGCAGGCCCCATTCGCAATTCCCCCCCCCCGGCCCCCGCGCGATGCGCATGGCCCCCCCCTCGGCCCCCGTCGACCTCCGTCGATCACCCCGTCGGCCCCCTCGGCCCCCCTCGGCCCCCCCTCCGTCGGCCCCCTTCGGCCATCCTTGTCTGATTGTCTGCGCCTGGGCAGCTGCGCCCCCGCAACTTCGATTCGGCCCGTGCGGCGACGGCCCCGGCGACGCCTGCCCAGCGTCGCCGCGAACAATCGCGGAATGTGAATGTCCGGGTCGCGGCGCGCTCGGCTGCGATAGCAGCCGCGCGCCACCTCGCTAGCGCATTCGACGGCCGTCGGCCCATCCCGCCACCCGCAGAGTTTGGGATCTCACATACTCGGGCACGCGCGATGGTCAAGACTGCGGGGCGCGAGCCCCCGTGGAAGCATAGGAGGGAAATCGACGTCGTCGCGGACGGCAACTACCGCGCGCGCAGAACGGCCGACGATAAAGAAGTATAATTCCTTAAACAATTGGCCGGTCGACCGCGCACCGTCGAGCCACCGAAGAGACCAGCGCCGGCGAGCACTGCCAAACAGAGAAATGCGAAGCAACCGAAATCCAAATTATGGCGCAAGGCAGCGGGCAACGTAGAGCAGCTGAAACGAAAACGAACCATAACACATGTCGCGGTGGACATAAGAAACACGCCGAGCGGCAATAATCAGATCGCAGACATGGCGGTGCCCAACACGGAATTGAAGGCACTTGCGCGCAAGATTGCGGATGAGACATGCCATCTTCCATCAGTGGCACGCCATGTGAGCTTCTATTCTTGGATTGGCATCACGCCAAGCGTCACCAATTCAACTACAGGCGCATCCAGCAGAATGACGAATTGCACTCGCAAGCGCGCGAGAAGTGGTGGAGCAAAGTAGCCGAAGTCAGGTTCAACACATATTTCTGGAAGGCACATGTCAGATGCTTCCTGAGCCACCTTGGCAACTGAAGGAACAGAAAATCGCGGCAAACGCAAGGATGGGGAAGGATACCCATGTTGTAATGTTCAAACTGAGAGCGCACAATATGAAAACAGTGGATCGTTTAGTTACAGCCCCTCATCCAAGGATACACAATCTGCTCGACGTTCGAGAGCACAACCTGGCGCGACGGCGTTTTGCTGATGGCATATGTTTTATGCGCGAACGCATCCAACCATAGCAACATATTTACAGCAAGCGATCAATGGTTTTGAACATTGGAGCCGAATAATATCATGATTTCGACAAACCATATATATATATAGAATGGTGCGATCCACTCGCCACTCGCCTTCCTCAATGTTCACCTGGGCCTCGCATCGCGTCCTTATTAATCACGCGCCCGATGAATAGGTTAGACAGGAGAGGAATAGGAGATGAATATACAGAGCAGGACAGAAAGCAGGGGAGAAAAAGTACGAAAAGGGTGGGGGACGAGGGGGGGATGGGATGGAGGAGAAGGAGGACTGCGGAGACACAGCAAAAAGAAAAATATCAAAAGTAGAGGGGGGGAGGCGGGCGGAAGGATATGTAGGTTGTATAATACATCGGAGACCGAGGGGGACCAAGGGAAGGGAGCACTGGAAAGGGACCAGGACAGGGACCGAAGGGGGCCGAGAGAGACCGAGAGGAACCGAGGGGGACGCCGGAACCCTTGCAGGTAGACTTCTTCCTTGGACGGACTTTCATGAGGAGACTTTTTCATTGGACGGACCCTTGTCGCCCCCCCCGAGATGACGAGGAGGAGGCGGAGGAGGATCACACACCGCGATGTTGGGTCACCCGTTCCGTGTGCGCCACGGGAGTGATCGTCTTCGTCGTCGATGGCATTACAGTCATTTTCATTGTAAGGACGCATATGTCCTTGAGAAACTACCCCTGCGCCACTGCATCTGCAGACCCGCTTTTTTGTTGCTTTCAATGGCCAGCCCCTCGGCCCCCGTCGACGTCCGTCGATCACCCCGTCGGCTCCCTCGGCCCCCCTCGGCCCCCCCTCCGTCGGCCCCCTTCGGCCATCCTTGTCTGATTGTTTGCGCCTGGGCAGCTGCGCCCCTGCAACTTCGATTCGGCCCGCGCGGCGACGGCCCCGGCGACGCCTGCCCAGCGTCGCCGCGAACAATCGCGGAATGTGAATGTCCGGGTCGCGGCGCGCTCGGCTGCGATAGCAGCCGCGCGCCACCTCGCTAGCGCATTCGACGGCCGTCGGCCCATCCCGCCACCCGCAGAGTTTGGGATCTCACATACTCGGGCACGCGCGATGGTCAAGACTGCGGGGCGCGAGCCCCCGTGGAAGCATAGGAGGGAAATCGACGTCGTCGCGGACGGCAACTACCGCGCGCGCAGAACGGCCGACGACAAAGAAGTATAATTCCTTAAACAATTGGCCGGTCGACCGCGCACCGTCGAGCCACCGAAGAGACCAGCGCCGGCGAGCACTGCCAAACAGAGAAATGCGAAGCAACCGAAATCCAAATTATGGCGCAAGGCAGCGGGCAACGTAGAGCAGTTGAAACGAAAACGAACCATAACACATGTCGCGGTGGACATAAGAAACACGCCGAGCGGCAATAATCAGATCGCAGACATGGCGGACATGCCCAACACGGAATTGAAGGCAATTGCGCGCAAGATTGCGGATGAGACATGCCATCTTCCATCAGGGGCACGCCATGCGAGCATCTATTCATGGATTGGCATCACGCCAAGCGTCACCAATTCAACTACAGGCGCATCCAGCACAATGACGAATTGCACTCGCAAGCGCGCGAGAAGTGGTGGAGCAAAGTAGTCGAAGTCAAGTTCAACACATATTTCTGAAAGGCACATGTCGTATGCTTCCTGAGCCACCTTGGCAATTGAAGGAACAGAAAATCGCGGCAAACGCAAGGATGGGGAAGGATACCCATATTGTAATTTTCAAACTGAGAGCGCACAATAGGAAAACAGTGGATCGTTTAGTTACAGCTCCTCATCCAAGGATACACAATCTGCTCGACATTCGAGAGCACAACCTGGCGCGACGGCGTTTTGCTAATGGCATATGGTTTATGCGCGAACGCATCCAACCATAGCAACATATTTACAGCAAACGATCAATGGTTTTGAACATTGGAGCTGGATAACAGTATGCCTTCGACAAACCATATATATATAGAATGGTGTGATCCACTCGCCATTCGCCTTCCTCAATGTTCACCTGGGCCTCGCATCGCGTCCTCATTAATCACGCGCCCGATGAATAGGTTGGACAGGAGAGGAATAGGAGATGAATATACAGAGCAGGACAGAAAGCAGGGCAGAAAAAGTACGAAAAGGGCGGGGGACGAGGGGGGGATGGGATGGAGGAGAAGGAGGACTGCGGAGACACAGCAAAAAGAAAATTATCAAGAGTAGAGGGGGGGAGGCGGGCGGAAGGATATGTAGGTTGTATAATACATCGGAGACCGAGGGGGACCAAGGGAGGGGAGCACTGGAAGGGGACCAGGACAGGGACCGAAGGGGGCCGAGAGAGACCGAGGGGGTCCGAGGGGAACCGAGGGGGACGCCGGAACCCTTGCAGGTAGACTTCTTCCTTAGACGGACTTTCATGAGTAGACTTTTTCATTGGACGGACCCTTGTCGCCCCCCCCGAGAGGACGAGGAGGAGGCGGAGGAGGAGGCGGAGGCGGAGAAGGATCACACACCGCGATGTTGGGTCACCCGTTCCGTGTGCGCCACGGGAGTGATCGTCTTCGTCGTCGATGGCATTACAGTCAAATTCATAGTAAGGACGCATATGTCCTTGAGAAACTACCCCTGCGCCACTGCATCTGCAGACCCGCTTTTTTGTTGTTTTCAATGGCGAGCCCTTTCTAGGGTGTTGGCAGTCCACCAGGGCCCCCCGCGAGCCCACAACCCTCTCAGCCCCTGGTTGACGCGGCGCGGCCCCCCCCCCTCTCCCGCGCGGCCCCTAAGAGGTGCTGGCGCGCATGCTCCCCGGCGCCGTGGAGGTGCAGGCCGTCGAAGCCCGAAGCGCCCCCCGCGAAAAGCAACGCGTACATCCTGGGTCTCGTCTCTTCCTCCTCCCCCGCCTCATCATCAGCATCACCATCATCACAATCAGCATCATCATCATCAACAACATCATCACCATCACCATCACCTTCATCATCAGATTCCTCTTCCTCGTCATCTTCCTTCTCCTCTTCCTCTTCCTGCTCCTTTTCCTCCTCCTCCTCCTTTTCTCCTCCTCGTCGTCGTCCTCCTCTTCTCCTCCTCGTCGTCGTCCTCCTCCTCGTCCTTCTCCTCCTCCTCCTCCATCCCCTCCTCGTCGTCCTCTTCTTCCGCCTCTTCGTCATCATCATCAGCATCAGCATCAGCATCAGCATCAGCATCAGCATCAGCATCACCAACAACATCATCCTCATCGTTATCCTTATCCTCTTCCCCCTCCTCTTCTTCCTCCTCCTCCTCCTCCTCCTCCTGCTGGTCCTCCCTCCCCACCGCCTCTTCCTCCTCCTCCTCCTCCTCCTCCTCCTCCTCCTCCGTCTCCTGTGCCTTTTCCTCTCTCTCTCGTTCTCCTCCTCCTCCTTTTCCTCCTCTTCCTTTTTCCTTTTCTCTCTTCCTCCTCTTCCTCTTCTTCCTCCTCCTCATCATCATCATCATCCTGCTCCTTCTCTTCCTTCTCCTCCTCTCTCTTCTCCTCCTCCTCCTCCTCCTCCTCCTCCTCCTCCTTCCGTAGCCATGTTGGCTCAAGGCCATGCTGACTGCGGGCTGTGCCCGCATTGGCTTGAAGGGATACCGCTATTCCGCGGCAGGCAAGGCTCTTGGAGCCTGGCAGTTTCTTTTGCTCACCTTCACACTTCGTGCCATGGCGGGGTCTGGCGCTGGTGGAAATGGAGAGCTGGTCCTTCAACTTCAAGCCATGCTCGATAAGCAGAACACGGAGATCACGTCTGCCCTCTCGGGAGAAATTCAAGTTGCAGTCGCTGGGCTGCAAGGACAACTCACTCAACAAGGGTCCGAGCTCCAACAATTGCGCGACCCCGTCAATCAGCAGGGCGCCAAGATCAAGTCCCTTGAGGACAACAGCTCAGCAGCGAGTACATGCAGCGGTTCATCACCAGGCAGCACATATCGTCAACGCGGAGTTGATGGTAAAGTAAGGCGTGTGGCAGGGCTCGACGCGGACGACGACATGGGCGACCCCACGGTGAAGTTCGTGGGCACGTTCCCTCGCCCCCTCTTGGCCAAGACGCGGCAGGCGCACTGGTTACATATGCAGACCGCCTACCCGCAGGAGCTCCGCGACGAAGTGGTCACGGCCGAGTTGGCATCAGTCAGACCTACAAGCTGCACTTCAAGAACAAGGTGGACGCTCTCGTGTTTCAACAACGTGCCAATGGTGCTGGCATGCAATGGAGAGATTTTCGTGACGGGTCTCTTCATCCGATTCGTATTCGTGGAGATATGCCGTTGCATGTGCGGCAGAAAAAACGTGCGCTGTCCGCCATCTACTCTACCGTCAAGGAGGAGCTCGAGAAGTCAGAGCACTGGGCCACGCACAAAGTGGGAGCCAACGGCCACAAGGGCGTGCTGCAGGTCATTACCGAGCATGACATTTTCGAGCTGTACCAGGCGACCTCCCCAGGCCTCGACACGTTCAAGTTCGAGCCACAGTACGACGCGCTCCACTTCTGGGGAATCTCCAAGGAGCGGGCCGAGGCCATCGCCAACGTTGAGAACCTCTGAAGTGAGGCCTCATGGCACTGCTGCTCTGATCAATATTATGTTGCTCTTTCCGTTTCCCCTCCCCCCCCCCGCTTCCCTGTGCGTGGTGGATAAGTTTGCCGCCAGCGTGAATGATAGCAGCGGGGGCTGCTGGGGCTCCGTCGGCGCCCCCCCCCCCTCCCTCCTCTTTTGCACCGCAGGTCAGCAGCCATAATTCAGTTGTATTTCATGCGTCGCAGCCTTCCTCCAATCAGCAGTCTGCAGAGGCGCCGGAGGCGTCCGCCCCTCCCCCTTTCAGAATTCCCCGTATCTTCCTGAACATGCGTTTCGGATTACCACGTGGAACACTCGAGCTCTTCTAGGGCCCCTGCATGCTGATCAAGCTCGGGTTCAACACAAATTCCACATATTACGCAGTCTAGCTCTTTATCACGAAGTTGTTTGCCTTCAGGAAACTCATGGTTCGCCTGGGGACCTCGTGAATCTGCAGCGTGAGTTCAAAAATCATACCCTCCTGGGGTCGTTCTGCTCTCGTCCGATTGCTGGCGGGCTGCTCTTTTTCATAAATCGTAAGTTCCTCGGCGAGTTCGACTCCCACCAACTTGTGGAAGTTGTTCCTGGCCGTGTCGCTATAGTTACTCTTTGGGGTCCTAAAGGAACGGTGCAAATCGCGAACATTCATATCGACCCCGAGCTCCCTGAACCCCAAGTTCGTTCGCTCTTCCAGAGGATTCGCCCCAGGGTCCTGGGCCGCCATCTCGCCACCGCCTTCCTCCTCGGAGACTTCCATTGCCATGAAGAAGGGGAATGTCGATTTAATGCCACTGAGGGGACTGAAAGATCTCAACATGCCAGGCGCGCGGCCTGCTTTCGCACGATCTTTTTCCGAGTTTGCAGAGCTCGAGCAGGAGAAGTGCACGCGCCGTCGCGTGATCGCTCAGCCTCTGTCCAAGTCCTTTGCCTGGCTCGACCGCATCTACAGCACCCCCCCCTCTGCCGGCATCTCTGATATGTGCCCTACGTCCTCTACTGCATGGGAAATGCGACATGTCCTTCCCCTTCGATCATGCGCCAGTATACTTTTCTACCGGGCCGTGTCGGCCAGACAAGAGCGCGCACCTGCCGGCTTGGATCCTTAAGCGCCCGTCGTACGCGAAGTTCTCCGAGGACCTCTTCAATGGTCAGTCTTTTAGCGAGGACCCACCCGAGAAGCTTCAGGAAGTGAAGTCTCCGATGGCTGCCGCTGCTCAAAAAAAACAAAGCCGAGACGTTATCTGCAAAAGCCGCTGCGAGATGTGAAAAAAAATCGCCTGTTGCCTGAAGCTCGTTCGGGGGCATCGTGCCTCTCTTCGCCGCGCTGTTCAGTCTGCTGTACATGCATGCCCCGTGCTTGGCGGTTTTATTCCGTGGATGGGCAATGCTGGACACGCTGGGCCCAATTCCACCCCCACCTCAGCAGCCTCATGACGGCTGACCTATCTAGGCAAGAACGCGAATGGCAGCAAGCAGCAGAAGCAGGGAACAGCAGCGCAGATTACCATATTATGAGGGTCAAGCGTTTGGCCAGAGCTGGGAAGAGTGCTAACCGTCCTGTAGTTCTCAAGGGGCTTGTTGGTCCGCAAGGGCAGACCATCGGAGACCCCGACACTTGTGCGCCCATGCTCACAGAGCACTGGGGCCGCGTCTTCTCTGCTGGTCATGGCTGCCCTGTTCTTGGCGAAGGCTTTCTGCAGAATATCACCCCCTCCCCGGCGATCCTCATCCATACGCACATAGCACTCATCAACGATTCCCTTGGGCACTCACCTTCGACCAGTTCCAGGACCTCCTCTCCAGGAAAAAAGATTCGGCTCCTGGGCCAGATGGTTTATGCTACAGTGTTTGGAGAGCTGCAGGGCCCGACGCACAAGAGGCATTGTTCGCAGTCTACGAGCATGTGCTCGCTGGGAGGCCAGTAAGGGGTGACTTCAATTATGCGTCGCTGGCCGCCTTGGCCAAGGGCGACGCCGAGGACAGCGGCCAAGTCTTCAGGAAGCCTGAGGATACCAGGCCGATTGCTTTGCCCAGCACAGACAACAAGCTGGCCAGTGCAATGATAGCCGCGCCCATTGGTCATGTGTTGGCCGATCGCGGGCACCGTTCTCAGCGGGGATTCATCAAAGGTAGGCAGATCATGGGCAATGTAATCGAGACCCATTACCTTCCTCTGGGGCACCGTCGTTGGCTTCCTTCGCACAGGCGGCTGTCTTTTCGACTTCCGCGCGGCCTCCCCCTTGATCTTACATTCCTGGATATTGAGAGAGTGTTGGGAGCGCACCACCTCCCCGAGTTCATCGCCATCGCCATCTCCATATTGCATAAGAACATGGCTTGTCAGGTCCAATTTCGCGGGCCCTTGGTCCACGAGTTCACCGCTCTCAGAGGAGTTAAACAAAGATGTCCGCTGTCTGGGGTTAGATTTGCTCTTTGTCTGGATCGCCTTCTCCAACATCTCGCCACCTCACCTACATCTATGCCAGAGGTCGTGTCTGCATTTGCCGATGATTTATGTCTGACGGCCTGCGGCATCATCGCAGACCTTGGTGGTGTGGTGCGCACAATCTGTACCTGTGGGATCTCCTCGGGCCTGATCTTGAATCTCACGAAGTGCGTCATCATCCTCCACGATGCCGATTTACGCTCCAATGCACCTCAGCTGTTCCGTGCGCGTGGCATCCGAGTGCGAAGTTTCAATATTCAGTTGCATGCCAAGCACCTCGGCTTTATTATTGGCAACCGTGGCCCAGAGCTTTCATGGCGAGCAGCAGCCAACAAGCTCATGCGCAGGGCGCACACCGTCAAGAAAATGGGGGAAGGCTTCATCATGAATGCGCGCACACAACAGATACGCGTTGCCCGTTACCTCATATATCAGTCAAGGCTTTCGCCCCACCAAGTCCGCTCTCCAGGTCGAACGTGAGACTCAGCAAGTGTACACGTGTGCTCCCCGTCACTCGATCCCGCTTGGTCTGTTCCCGAGAATGAAGGAGCTTGTTTTCTCTGTTCAGACTTCGTCGATGCAGGTGCAATCTCTCGCTGCCATGCTGCGGGCCGCCCACTGCTCCGAGGTGCACCAGGATTGTCTCCAGAAGTCTCACGCTGCCAGAGACTCCGACGAATTCGTACCAGCCTACAGGTGCAGCCCCCTCTTCAGGCACTCGCTTTTTGTGCAGCTGATGGAGGATTGCACGATATCGAATTACCCCTCTCGCCTTCCTCATGATTGTCGTCGTAAACAAATCCAACG